CTCAAAGAAAACACCTGCTACCAGCAGGCAATACAGGATTCAAAAGAGATTCTAACCAATTCCAAAGAAGAAAAATCCCCATCCCCCCCTCCCTTTTTTTTTTTTTTGGCTGGAAGGGTAGTAGCTGCAACACTGGGCAAGAATACATAATTTTACTGCCTGTGTTTGTAATCAGAGCTATGACAGACCCAGACACTCTCTAAAACTGATTTTTAAAAAACAAAAATTTCAGTGTTTTACATAATTTTTACATATCTTTGTTCTAAATGCTAAAGACCTATGAGACATTCATCAAGAACAAATATACAGACAACAGCACAGCAGTCTTCAGTGATACAACAAAAGACAATTTAAGACAAATGACTTAGAGCAAATGCTATCACTGAATAATCCCACAACAGCTGTCATAATTAGTTAGCTCAAATCTCATCAGAATCAGAGAAGTTAGAGTTAAATTCGAGCTCTCTTCCTGTAACATTGTGTAACTCAAACAGCAGCATTATCCTCGCGATTTTAGAATTAAAATTTCTCCATAAAATAAGGTGAAACGACTCGATCCTTCCACGCAAAAAAACCCTGTGCAAGCCAACTGATGATAAAAGAAACTCGGTCAAGTTTGAGCCTCTCAACACCTTATTTCCTGTATAAAGAGCCCTTTTGTTCTGCTTCCCTGCATAAATGTTAATATTCTGCCATCATTAGAAAACGAAACAATGAAAAAAAGCCCCACGCACATGAACTTCACTGCCCCAGAGGGCGAAATAACGCCACACGACGCGATTAGAACCGGAAAATTCCTACCAACAAAATCTTCACAATTTTCTGTTTGCTTCACCCCAGATTAACTTCACTTGAAGCTGTACTTCGGCGCAACCTAGCCTTGACGCGGAACCCCGCCTCCCCCGCTCCTATTGGGCGCGGCGAGGGAGCCCCACCCCGTCAGCCAGGCTCCGCTCCCCCATTGGTGGAGCGGCGTATCCATTATTTAAAGAACTTTTCCTTGCTAGCAGGTTCGGCTGAGCAGGTTAGGACACCCTGGGCAAGCTGGTTCTTAAAGGGCCAGGACCCCGCTCCCGGCTGTGACAAACTACCACCTCCGGCGACGCGTCGCCCCGAGCGAGCTCCAGCGAGTGCCCCGGCGAGCGGCAGCGGGCGGCCAGGCCGCCGGCGGCCCCCCTGCGCCTCCCGCCGAGCCTGCTGGAAGCCCCGCTCCCGGGGGGCGCCCGCCCTGCCCAGCACGAGGCGCTCGGGCCGGATGGGTGGAGGGTGGAGGCGAGGAGGGCACCCGGGCTGGAGACGCTTCTCCCGCTGCAGTGACACAGCTGCCGCTCGCTCTACTTAACAGGATAAAATTAGATGTGGCTTTCGAGCCCATCCACTCTTAAAGAGTGACTGGAGTTACCCTGGCGAGCCGGGCACACTATATAAATTAGTAACTCCGCCTAAAAATACGTTGGGTTGCCAGTTCCAAAGACTCTTCTACCAATTTAAAGCATGAGTCAGCAGAAGAGGAGCTCCGCAGGAAGTGACTGTCTCCATCTCACAAGGTACCATGGCTTCTGCCAGAAACTTTTTGTGCTTATTCAGGCTTCACTTGGCTGAACAAATTTGCAAGATTGTTCACATTCTGACAATCAACAGTGTTTTTCACAGCACAGATTCGTCTTAACATCGGTCAAAAACCTGTCGTTTAGATTAAGAGTGTTTCTTTTTCCTTGGTGTAAACACTGATGCAGTTCCCTACCCATCTATCAAGTGAAAAGCCTGGATCATGCAAGAAGAGTAAAAACAAAACAAGGCTTAATAAATGTTTCACAAGTGCAGATATGACACCTTGTTTGAGAAAACCCTTGCCCCATTCCGAACAATGTGGGGAAGAGCCAGGACACAGACAGCGTTCCCTCCTGCACCCACAGAGTATCATCACAGTTACACAAGACTTACTTGGTTAGCAAGGTTGCCTTACAGAAAACACTTTCATGTGTTAGTGTAAAATAACTAAAAATATTAAGCTAGAGGAAGATACAGCACTTGTCAACATAAGCACGGTTTCATTGTTTTTGTACTGTGCAGAGAGAAAAAACTCCTCCTTGGTTCTTGCCCCCTTTCCTCTAGCCAGTACTGGAGCAGCGTGCCTTCCCTTATTTCACCTACTGCCCATACTGAAAAATGGGTATCTGTTTTAACTTTCCTAATGCAGATTAATCAAACCCAAGGCAGTTCAGCACACTGCTTTACTGCAAATACCACCCAACATCAGGAAAATATTTACAGCTAAGTACTCCCTTAAGCTGTGACACATACACCAAAAGAGTATAAAAAACACCTTCAGGAAGGACGTTTAATTCCTCTAAAACAGACAAATAGCACATCTTGTGTTACCATCTATTTTAGATCCAACTATCACACCACAAATCCGAATATGACTGAAAAGCAGCAATTTGTACAGTTGTAAGTATGAAACACGACAAGAACAGAATTAACAAAATTTATGTAACTTCCCCTACAGAACCTAAAATATAAGCTGAAAAAAACAGACCTTAACCCTTGCACCTGAATTCAGCACCCCTGAAGAGTCAGTACTGCTAGAAGCTAATCAGGTCCCCTGAGGATAACTGTGAGGCCATACTTACATGATACCTTTTTGACCAAATGCTATCTAAGCAATCAAACCCAAGAACATAGTTCATGCAAATAAAATACACCAGTAAAGTGTCCTCCAAGTATCTCAGTAACCAATCTTGGAAAGCTTCAGTTTAGAGCACATTAACTTTAAGCCCATAAAAACCACAGCAGAAGTCATGAATCTTACCCACCAAACTGCTTAGTGCCAGAAGAGGACATGACAACTCTAAATTCAGTGTTATTGTTTGAGTACTTTCAAAAGGGGAGGAGAAAACAACCCAAACCAAACACACTACCCCAAAACTTTCCAGCTCTGTATGCTACCACAGAAGTCTAGCCACCTTGTAATTGCAACAGTGACGAAAGGTAAGTTTTATTATCAAACATCCCATACTTCAGCTCATGCTTCTGTTACACAGGCAACTAGCAGCTCCTTATCACTACAAAGGAGAAGTTTCATCCTTTTTTCTCCCCACCTTTCCCCTCCCAGTCACACAGTCTGGCCAACTTCCTCAGCCCAGCTCTGGTGCTCATCAGACCCTTCCATCTGCCTCCCAGTCACTGATCTGGCAGAAATTTGGCCAGCTTCTGATAAGCAAGAGCATGGCTTACCCAGAACATCAGGGCAATGGCAAAGCAGATTCTCCTCCATTCAGCACTGACCTCCTGGATTTGCTTACCTCATCTCATGCAAAAACAAATAAAACCCACAAAACTAGCATAAAAATTAAAAAAAAAAAAAAAAAAAAAATCTGTGAAGAGGGGTTATCTAAACTACGTTCACCATTGACCCTACCTCACTGGACTAGAAATCATAGGTTAACACATCTCATCTAGTTGTTGGGAATCCGGGCATAAAAAAAATTGCTGTTCAAGTTATTATCTGATGCTAAAGGAGACCTAGTGAAACTAGACATTAAAAAGCCTAATTTATAACTCAGTTTCTGCACATAAACCACCAATTTTCCCTGTAAACACAAACATTTTGGTGAAAATGCAGAGGCACCATTTTAAGGTCCAGACTCAAGTTATGCCTTTGCTACTCTTACAATATCTGTAGCAGTGCAGAAAAAAACGAAAATAGCAGATTGCAGCTGCAAGTACATTAAGCAGGGAAGCTTTGACAGCAGTGTAAAAGAGATTTAGTTTGCTGCCACCGAACTCTGCACTGAGGACAGCAACAAGAGAAAGCATCTGACTCTCATTTGACTACTGTAATCATGGAACAGCTAAAAGGCCATTTGTTCTATAATCTTATACATACAGAAGACAGCAAGTTTGGAGGACTTGACAGCTCAAGAGATCAAGAACAGTGCCTTTCATCTTTAAGTCACCAGTTCAGAGACCAGAATAGTAGTGATAAAAAGCCACAAGTGATGGCTGTTCGGGGATTAGATGAAGATGGTTACTTGCTGTCCAGTTCCCAACGGATCAGTGTGAACCACAAGAGCTTTCTTCACAATTTTGCACCTGTTTTCAGTCTTGCATACTTTCACCTCCTGGATCCTGTCCACGTTAATAAGTAGCAAAGCAACTGAACTGCTGCACACACATACTGAACTTGCATTGTAGAAAAGGACTTTACCCTCTGTTTGTCAATTATGTCAGCACTACAGCATGTGCTGAATTTTTCATTATTTTCAACCACTTATAGCTCTTTTAGCTTTTTTATTCTTAGAGATTGTTTTAAAAGTAATATTTAGTTTCCCATTCCTTTTAACACCCTCAGATGCCACAATCCTGTTTATAAACAAGTTATCATATACTTGCTGTACAAGTTATTTTTGGAAATAGATCCATTTTAAAAACACATTAATATAGGAATTTCAGAACTTTGGCATTTGAAAAATGATTTTGAGACATTAGTAATATTTTTTTAATCAAACTTAAACAACATAAACTTCATGATGGCCATGTCTACATAAGGACGGGGGAAAAAGATTCCTTGTGTGATGAAATAAACATTCCTTTTCATATTCTTATACATTCTTCAACACATCAGTGTGCAGTCTCTAGAAAGTCAACAGCAATAGCTCCTTTCCAACCCGACTTTAGTTTTAAAAGTCTGCAGATATACCTGGAATTTCCAGGCCGCAAAGGTAAGATGAAAACAAGTTCAGAGTGTATGTTGACTGAAGGCTCTGGAGTGCAGGTTCGTTGTCCTGCTATGAACACCACTACCACAAGCAGTCTTCTATACAACCCCATCAATACACAGTTCCACAGTCCTTAGTAGCATATTACTTCCTGAGAATGAAGTCGCTGATGAAAAGCCAAGATCCTATAAACTTCAGTATTCTTAGGAGTAACTAGGGAGGCCCTCGCATACAAAGATTTCAACTTGCTATGCCAGGAGTCTAAATAGAACAACATACCAGACTGATGAGATTGCAGTAATCTTGAAGAACTTTGAGATTTCTCTTGCTGCTTTCAATCCAAGATGTACTACTGCAATAATCAAATCTGGAAACAACAAAGAGGTGCACGGGGTAAGTACTAGGTCTTCATCAGAGAGAACTGGTTAGTTGTCTGGACAGCAGTACAGACGCACCAGAAAAACAGATGCTAAAACTTCCAGGGCAATCTCAAACCACCCAAAGCTTAGCTACCCTAAGGACTTAAAGTTCATCCACATGTTAAATTGCAAATGCTGCCTTCTATGTAGGGAATAAGCCGTTAAGAGAATCACTTCCCCCCCACCCCATTATCCCCTGGTGTATAAAATGGCACATCCGTAGCCAGTCTCAATCACTCTCAACAGTTGCCATCTTGGTTTGGTTTTGTTTTGTTGTTTGCTTTTTTTAAATCGGGACATGGAATTATATCTTGCACAGCTGTACCACCAAGGCCTCCAGTGATGGATGGCCACATCACTTGCTTCAGTCAGAGTCCTTGAGAAAGGATCTAAACATTTTAGAAGACTCTCCTTGACATCAGATATCTTGTGGGTGGGGAAAAAAAAAAGTATACTACAGTTTCCACTGAATTCAGCATGCTCCAAGTACATTTATATGTAATCTAGAATATTCTTTATAGCTTAAATCAAGTATCTTGAATGCAAGTCATAGCCCATTCAGTATTTAAAAAAATAAAATAGCTGCATAGCTATTAGCTGCCAAGAAAATGGAGCCAGAAGTTTGTATACTTACAATTCTCTCAGAAATCAGACTGATTAATATAGCTGTTACAAAAGGACATGCTTTCACAGAAACAAGGATTACCTTTATCTGTAACCATAGCAACTTTTCAGTAGTTTGTGTTAAAGCTACTCTCCTTCTGATAACTTGCCACTATCTCATTCAAGCTATTTGTATAAGGTTTTGAATGTGCCATCTGAGGCCATAAAGTAACAAGAAGTGGGAATGTAAACTTACATTCTTAGATCACAGTCTTAAAAGTATATTATGTAACATACAATATTGCTCATTTTTGCCATAAATTCATGATTAGTCGATAAGTAAACTTATTTTAATGTTATTATTTTAATATGATTCATAGTTTTGTAAGCCAAAAAATATTTCAACAGGTATTCTATGAAATATATAGAGGACATAATTTCTTCAGTACTGAAGAATTTCTTCTCCTCTATCTGAAAAGCGGTAAACCCAAGGAATTATGCCACAGACTTTAACATTCAGTTTCATAAAGAACAAAAATCCTCCCAAAACACACTTATTTTGTCCTGAACAAATATATGATGGATCAGAAAAAAGCCAGCCCCCTTGTTCTAGGTTAGGTGATAATTAATATAAAGAACAGGTGTAGGTACCTCAGCACTAGATGAACAAATCGGGCAGAATTCAAAGAGCAAAGCTATAAAAGTTAAAGACGAAACAGGAAAGAGACTGAGGAAGGAATTGACATATTTGCTTCCTCAATTGTTGAGTTACCATCATCCACAGTTCAGAAGAATATTAGCACTCTATGAAAGAAATTATTTAAGATGACATCAAACAAAACCATTTGCTTGGAAGGAGGAGGAAGAGAACAGTTTCTTCTTTATTTTTTTTCCCCTGAAGTTCATGGGGCACCTTATCAAGCTGCACCCTTCTCTCTACAGTGTACACTGTCTGGTACAGTTAAGATGCGAGCACAGATCCTTAGAAGAATGAAAATACTCAGCACACTCTTTACAGCCCGTAACTCATGCAATGGCATCTATTGTAGGACAAGTCTAGACAAACACCGAAGGAATGGACTTCACAACATAACGGTGAGCTTCAAGTCGGTCTGTGCAGGGGGAGAAGCAACCACTGTCGGTTCTGCTGAACGTCTCCACATTACATCAGCGCATTTGTGGAAGCTTCTATATTTTGTTGCTGTTGGCATTGTTATCAGCAGTAAGATAATTAGTGCTTTTTATTTTTTAAGATTCCCCCATCCTAACATCCTGGGGAAACAAGGGTGGATGCCTCCACCTCTTATCTATCAGTCCAGGCGTTTTGCAGAGGCTAAAGGGAGGTAAGTTTGGTTAAATATCGCAGGGTTCCTCAGCGAACGCAAGAGCAGCAACAAAAAGAACTTTTCGTACAATAAAACGCAAAAGGATGACAGCCTATGCAGGCTTAAACCCTTGGTTCAGTTGGAAGGGTGCCACGACCCAAACTACATGTTGCTTCCTGAATACTCCCGTCCCCAACCCGGCCAAAACCGCTGCACTGAACTTACCCGAGGCGCAGACGGGCACCCCGACTGCAGCGGCCACCAACAGCCCCAGCCCGGGGGAAGGCCCCGGCACGGCGGCGAGACGGGGAAGCCCTCCCGCTCCCCGGGCACCGCCGCTCGTTCCAGTCCCATCCCCCACAGAAGCTGGGAGACCCACCGGCCGAGGAAGCCGGCCCCGCCGGCTCTCCCCCCCCCCCCGGCCTCTCCCAGCCAAACTAAAATAACTCCGGGGCCAGGGAGGGAGGGGAGCGGCGGCGCAGGGCTGGCGGCGCGCCGCGGCCCGGCCGGCCGCCTCTCCCCTTCCACCCAAGGACACGAGTACAAACACCTCTGCCCTGGGATGGCTCCTGCGCACGCAGCGAGGAGCTGCCCGACGGGGAGGGTGAGAGGAGGAGGAAGGAACGACCAAAAAAGGGAGAAAAAGAACCCCGGGGCCCTGGGCCCGGCCCGGCCCCACCGCCACCCCGGGCCTGCCGGGTGCGGGGGTCGGCGGAGTAGAGAGTGGTGGAGGGGGGGGGGGTGAGCCTTCCCTTCAGCCCCACCACAACCCCCTACGCTCCCCAGAGACGCCCGGGCGCCGCCGCCCCGCCTGCCCCGCCACAGAAAGGGGCCCCCAGCCCGCCCGCCCCCGGCCCCGGCCCGGCCGCGCTCCGCTCACCTGCCCCCGGGCCCGCCGCGTCCCGCCGCCGCCCGCCCGGCCCCGCCTGGCCCCGCTCGCTCCTCACCAAACTTTTTTTTTCCCCTTTCTCCGTGTTTCCTTGCCCTGAGAGTGACGCGGGCGGGCGCTGATTGGCAGAGCCGAGGAAGGGAGGCCGCGAGGAGGAGGAGGCGGTGCTACGGCCCACGACTAATTATTATAAGGAGACGGCGGCGACGTGAACCACAGAATGCTATTTAAAGGGACAGCGGCCCGTCCCGTGTTTTCCCCCACCACCCCCGGCGCCGCGAATGGCCCGAGGCGAACGCAGGGGCGGGAGCGGGCAGCTACCGCCGGCACCGGGCGGGGCGGGCGCGGGGCCTGGCTCGGCGCGGGGGCCGGCTCCCCTCAGGCTGGTGGCCGGGGCCTGCCGCCGGCCGTTGCGGAGCAGCCCGTGAGGAGATCGCCCCCTCGCACCGCGCGGTCTCCCAGCCTTTCGTCGTCGTCCACTCTCCGCCGCCCAAATAAACTAATTTTGCTGGAAAAATCCTGCGTGGCTGCCTGTTGCCACCCCCCACTGCCCACGGGGGTTTCAGACCCGTGAAGAGGTTTCCTGTCAGTGGGTTGCGCTTGGGTGGGCTCAGGGCGGCTCTGTGGGGTCTGTACAGCCCCCGCGGCCCTCTCACCGCTCACCCGCTTTACAGGCCCTGTAAAAAGTCAGCTGGGGGTTTTCTTGTTATCTACACTATGTCACATGACTTGCTTCTGTTTTTTTTTGTTTTGTTTTGGTTTTGGTTTTTTTTGTTGTTGTTGTTTTGTTTTTTTTTTTTTTCTTCTTTGTGGGGCTCAGAGACAATACACCACAGTTTGGTTTTATATGGAACATTTTCATGTTGCTATTCACAGTCTCGCTTCATGTCACAGGCGGCTGTAAAGTATACCATGAAAGAAGGTTTTAAAGGTGAGATTTAAGGATGATGAGTGACTTGGCAGCTCAAAGCAGATAGGAAGGGAGGACAGGATTCCAGAGAGATGAAACAAGCCAAATAAAAGAGGAATTTTATCTGTGGATAGTGAAGAGGAGCAGGCCAAGACTGGAGGAGCTGCCAGGGTGTGAGCTGCTGAATTTGTAGAGGGTTTTGAAGGAGGAAAAAAAAAGTGAGCAGTTGTGAAGCTCAAGGGAAGCCAAAGAAGCCGAGGATGGGTAAAACATGTTTCCATTTCCCAGGGGAACAGTGAACAGGTTTTAAAATTTTTGGTCTTTTATGAGCAGAGGAACTTGACACTATCCTAAGGAAGGCATTGCAAGAGGACACAAAGATTTCAGTAAAGAAAGTCCAAGCAAACATCTTCCATTGGTAAGAACCCACTATCGTCAACATTGTGAGCCAAGTAGACAGATCCCTAAACCTGGCAAAAGCCCTTAATGGGAAAAAGGCCCCTAATTTTTTTTGTTTTGAGTATCTTGGATCAACACCAGAAAATGCTGGTGCAACCAGCATGGAAGTGCTAACATCGCTTTACAGCTATTTTGGTAAAGATTATTCACTCTTGGCTGTCTTTGCTGATGCAATAAGTCTTCCAAATGCCAGGTTGCATGAACAGAAGATGACCTGCATTGCATGTGGGTATCACAGCATTCCCCACAACATTATTTGGAGCGCTTTCATGGTCTTGGCAGTAATCATAAGGAGCTGTGGGGAGTGATGATCACATTCCTCCGAGCCTCTCCATGATCATCTTTTTTAATATGATTTTTTTGAAACCTTAAATTCTCTTTGATTCAACTCAGACTGCTTTCTTTGTGCCAGGTTTCATCTCATCGTTAGAAATATAGATGCAGAATAGTAGGGTGGAACATTTACTGTGTCTGTTTAGAAAAAAAGACAACTGATTCTTTTGCAGTTGTGAGTAACCAGCACAACAGCTGGCAGTACAGCAGTGGGAATAAAAAGGCAAATGCAAACAGTGAATGAGACAGACACCTCCTGCCAGGAGTTATTGACCAGCAACACATGGTGGAACAAATGTTAAGTTATGGCATCGAATGTCAAGGGGGGGCAGCAGAATGTTCAGATGTGCTTTTCCTCAAGTTGTCTCTTTTCAAGCTTGTCTATTTTCTGATGTGTCAAAATGAGAAAACTCCGTTACAGTAATGCTGGAGTAAGTAGATTTCTTGAAGCATTCAGAATCGGTATATTTGGTATGGGTAGAAGCTGCCACAACTCAAGAGAGGCAAACAATCAGGAAATAAGGAACACAAAGTTTTATGTTATCTTCAGAAAAAGAGCCAATAGTCAAACTGCCTCTGAGGGAGATATTTCATAAACAAGATGGCCAGGCTTATTCTTGGGGTAGAATAAAGGTTGTAGTTAAACATTAAATGTACAACTTGATCCACTGTGAAAGAAAGACATAATATTGAAGAAATAGAGTTCAATTTTCTCATTTGAGGACCTCAAGACTAATAGGCTAAAAAAACCTTGCTGAAATCAAGTAGGATAAGGAAAGAGAGAAGTGTATATTCAGAGAATTGCCTAAGCTGTTAACCTCCCGGAGAAGGGCACCCCTGACTCTGAGAAAGGGTCAGAAGTCAGTTAGAGAACATGGGAAGTCAAAAGTGACCCTGAGCCAGCAGATGAAAGCAGAAGACTGTTTCTGTAGACCACTGCAGAGGAGTTAGAGGCTATTCATCCACCTTCATTGATAGGAATAGTTTTGGTTTTTAAGAGTACACAAATGTTCAGCAGTACATAGGACCACCAGAAGCATATGGATCTTGTCATGCAATGGGATGTTCATCTTCATGGAACAATTTCATTCTACTAGGCATGATTTTGCTTCAACAGAGCAGTCAAAAAGAAGCTCCAGACAGTTAAGTAGGGGATCCTGGTGCAACCTGAAACACCCAGGAGGGAGGTGAAAGGTTTCCCAGCTGTGCCAGTGATTTGATGATGTATGGCAAAATAGAACAACCAGTGAATGTTGCTTCCTCATTTATAACGTCACAACTGAAACAGTGTTTAATCTCCTTGATCTGCATTATTTAGATCTGCCTGCCATATTTTAAGACTCTCATCACCTTGATATCTCAGCACAACTTATTTTCACAGTGTTAAGGGCTATCTATTCAAAAACCTCTTTCGAAAATATTGGGACAAATTTTCCGAAAGGAGGTATTTTTCTAATTTTTTCTCTCTTCTCCCAAATCCATTTAATCTGTCTGCTAACACAGAGGACCTTTTTTCTTTGGTTCCTTTTATGCTTGCTTCTGCTATAGCAGCTTGTTGTTTCTTTTGCTAAAGCTTTAGAACTCACTTGAGATATCATAGTAATGTATTCATTTTGAGGTAGATGTATCTTCAGAGCTGGTAAATAGAAAGTCTTTTATTCACTTCAGTGGGCTCTGGATCAGGTGTTTAGTGCTAACACCATTTCAGTTCTAATCTGGTTGTTTGGGGCCCAGCATGCAGCCCCTGAGACTGCTGAGATTTTTACCATAGGCTTTAATGAAAGAAGAATCAGACCCTATTTCCTGAGAGCCTATAAAAATCCAAAAGACATAGGCACAAGACTTTCTTGAAGAACTGATTCTTAAATTTGATTTCATTTGATTCTGAATCTCACTGGACTTTTTTTCCCCAGCCACTTTGACCTTTGAGATATGCCTAATCCTAACAGGATGATCTGGAGTTTCAGTTACCCAGGCCTACTGGAAACCGGGCCCAGCAGTCTTTTGGCAGTGGCCTTTCAAGAGCAGCAATGCCAGCTCTCTGTTGCAATGCCCACATTCAGAGATCTGTAGAATTAGAGTCCAAATTCTGCTTGTATTTGCAAGCCCAGAACGCCATTGACTTCATGGGGGTAGTAGGATTTTAGCCAGGAGCAGAAATTGGCCCAGGATCTTTTCAGATTCCCTCATGCTTCTGTTTATATGATGCTTTCATCAAGAACTAACAACATGCTTCCTGCTGCATTTTACTTTTAAATTACATAAAGGATATTTACTGTGCTGATGCTACATAGTTTACAAGAAAGATGCACATATGGAAATGAAAAAACACTGATTACCATTAGGATTTCCATCTTTCAGCATTCATTTTCCAAAACAACCCAGGGACTATTTCTTATCAAAAAAATGCACAAACGAAAATCCCATTTCTTGGCATTTATGTATGGCATTCTGGAGTCTTACTCATCAAGTATGCTATGAAAATGGTCAGAATAAAAAAGCCTTGTAATGTGCAAAAAGTTCAATACTCTGCTTTTACTTTCTGTATAGTGGTTTCCCAGGCAGAGAGATGAGTCTATCCCTAAAAGTAATTAATATTTTTCTGCCACTCAAAGGGTGGGAGAAGAGGAGGAGATCTGGGGAAAGCTGAGTGATCACCAAGGACTACATGTGAAAACACAGATAAAGCTTGAGAACAACCGGTGCAAAACTGTAAAAAACAAGCAGGATGCCAAGCAAAGCACGTCAAGACAATGCCCACTGCTG